CGAGTTAACTTGTTTTGCCACGGCAGTCATCACTGCTCGGTGTTTTTATATAGTCTCCTGACGGTTTGAGACGCCGAATGAACTAACTACTTACTAGGATGTCTGTGTCAGTTGAAAACAATGTGTCGTAATCAGAGCAGATAGAACCGTGCGATCCAGTAAGTGTAAGTCAAACAGACGAGGAGTCAGAATTAACGAGTACTCTTTTATTGGGCTCTATTCATCTTAAAATTGGCGTATTAGAATTGTAAAGGAGATAGAAGACAGAGTAATATATAGGCGACTAGTGAACGTTTGTTAGGGGGCAGTGGGGAAAGAGAGTCAGTGTAATCCAAGCACGACACAATGCATGTCTCAAGCAAATGCCATGAACCTGCTTTCATGTTTCACAAGTCGTTCTTAGTGTGGCCAATCGATCAAACATGAAGTAGTTATGGTCATATGCCACAAGGACACATTGATGCCCATAGGTAGTTATAGTTGCATCCTGCCTCCCTCCCCCTAATTCACATCCGGCCCAGGCGCGACTTAAGTCAATTAAACAAGAGGGGCTGTGCTGTGTTCGAAACCTTGTTAGTTATTTCCAAACTATAATTAAAGTTTCTCTTGTTTCATTTCTGGGGAGATTACTGCGCAAACCTGGAGTAAATCCTTCGAAACAGACCTTTCCAGCCTCGCTATGAGACTTGATATTACAGTTTTTTTTTAAAGAAATACAATATTAAACGATTTGCATGTTCGAACTTACCCATGTCACCTTCGGCAAAGCGACAGCGTAATATTCTCTATTCAGCAATTTCGTTGACTAAAATGTCTCCTTTACGCGAACTCGTTAGCAGCTACGATAAATTTATCCCTTGTTCACGAATCAGCAGACTATAGTGTCTGCTTACTTTTCAGTCAAAAATTTCAAGCGCAGATGGACTTGTCTTTTTTGACACAACTCCAATCCATTTTAAAACACCGCTGATTTCCATCCTCCTTTTCAGGTAACGTCCACCACTCTGGAGTGTGTTCTCCGTCAGTCGCCGTATTTACTCTTCTATGAATTGGTAAGTGCTTCCGAGTTGTAGTGAGTGTGGCATTCATCATGTCAGTGTCATTTTTTGGATTTTATTTGCTGTTAACTGCGTGTTAGGACTTGGCCGAAACATGTGTCCTTAAACCCGCTTAGTCATCTATCTTTGCCCATCTAGTGCCCACATGCTTTGTCCCATGTCCCGACCTCCTTGATTGCCTTCCTATTCGTTAACATACCACGATCTTTATTCCCTTGCCCCCTTATTCATCAGACAGCATTGAGTTAACCCGTGTCTTTTTGAGACAAAGAATGTAAACTGAGTCTCGATTCAGAGCCTTTTTTGCCGGCCGAATCACTTGCGCCTCGAATTTTGGCACTGCCTACTGAGAATTACGTTAGTCCATCATCACATCGCTGCAGGCTTTAGCACCCTGTTCCTCACAGAACTGTACGTCTACTGTTAGGACAAAAACAGGATCGTCGGATTATCACATGCTTTTGCATACCACGACTCATGTTGCAGGCCTTAGACGCGGAACCCACTTCCCCCCTTTTTACGGCTTCTGCCCCTAACTAACAGAACGTAGTAAGCCAAGAAGATGAGCACGCTATTACCGGGACAGCACGTGCACTTGTCTGAGCTTTCGGTCTCGTGCAGAGGGTCATCATCATGAGACACTGTCAGCGTGCGACAACAAATGAGCAGTTTTTTGTAAGAACGAAGTTCAGCAGTCCAACAGACACGCTGACCTACCTCCCTGCTATCACACGCTTCGATTGCGCGACTTCGTTACCAATCTAGGACGCACGCACGCCAGCCCTAACCTCTCTTTTCTTGCACTACAAAAACTGGTCATTTGTTGTTGCACGCTGAAAATCCCTGATGCTGGCCTACTGTACAAGACCTTAAGCCCAGACCAATACAATCTCTCCGATCTACCTGTTGATAGCTCTGCCACCAAGACAGGCTTCCAGCGTCTCCACCAGAGCCGTTGTTGAGGAGAAGCGAGGTTACCGTCCCCCAGTCCTTTTGGGTGGCTATCCACCTCCGATTGCGGCCTCAGAATAACATCTACCGAGGGTCACTCGCTGTACTCTGGCTCAACTGCGCAGTGGCTA